TATAGAAAATGCTAATTTAAACATTGAGTGAAATTTTCATGTATCTACAGTTGTTCGTTTTTGAATTGCAACAAAATAAGGAAATCGCTACATGAGTAATCGAGTGAATATCCAATGTTGTAAAAATTTGAATTTCAAACGCTCATAAAAATTTAACTCGACTGTCCGGTAGAGATTTTTTATTGATAAAGGTAGATAATCTTATAAGGAATCTTGTGTTTCATTTTCAAATCTTAGATTTAAAAAGAAAAATTTTTACGAATTCTTAACTCAAAATAATTTGCTAATTTTCGTGATTTTTCCATATTTTGTCAATTTTTGAACTTTAAATGCTTATAAAAAAAAATTGTGACTAAGGATTTTTAATATTTTTCATCTGCCTTTGAAACAACATATTAGGAGCCTTCTATTAAATTTTCAAGCTTTCGCAACCAACAAATAAAATTTTATTGATATTTCTAGAAAAAAAACTAAAATAAAATGAAAAATGAAAATGTCCCTAAACAGTTCAAAATAAATCAAAATATTTTGAAAATGTTATCGTGTATAGAAAATGCAAATATAAACAACCAGTGAAAATTTCATGTATCTACGGTCATTTGTTTTAAAGTTACACCAATAACCAAATTCGATTTTTTGGAAAATCGATTTTGCGTAAAAATTCCCGTTTTTCCTTAATTTTTATGTTGTTTTTTCCCGGCGCTTGTGAAAACTACTGGAAAATGTTTACTTTTGACCCCCCAAAGTACCAACTAGATTCACTTTCCTATCAGAAAAGGTACTATTGAAGAAAATCGAAGCACTTTTACTGTCCCAAAACGTGATGACAGACACAAAAAAAAATATAAAAATATAAAAATATAAAAACACACATCATTGTAAAACCATTACATTCATTGCTCCGCTCAGAATCTAAAAAAATTGCTTGATTAAATATTTAAAATATTCTATTGTATTGTTACATATCCCATTACTGTCAGTACTCTGAATAGGTTTTTTTTTTTTTACCATGAACCAATATTATTTTTGTACGGTATATATGGTATTGTGCATGATACATGGTTATATTATTTCTATATTATTATAAATAATTTAAATTTTTAAATTTTAGAAATCAGTCAAAGACTTACGAGAAAAAATTGTGGAAATCCGTGAAAAAGTAAGCTAAAAGTTCATACTTCAATATGTCTTTATTATTTATTATTTTAAAAACAACATATTCGATGAGTTCAATAATATATTTTACCACTTTCTTTAATCATTTTATGCATATTTTGAAATTAATTGATGTGTTAACATCAGTGAGAGAGGACAAATAATGTAAACTAGCCACTAGGTATTAATAATATTTTTATTGTTAACAGATGAAATTAAATGATGAACCAAATTAATGTTGACATTTGATAAACTATAACAAACTATTTTTATAGGGAAAGAAAATATTATTTTTTTAAACAAATAGAAGTAGGTACATTAATTTAAATTATTGTTGGTATCAAGACAGAAAAAAGACATAAAAAATTAATACTCCAATAAATTATTCAATTCTTATCACATTTCATAAACTAAAATTGTAACTAGGTACCTACTATGTTATTGACTACAAGTTATTTGTTCACTATTTTATCTAAGATATAAGTGTACAAAATACCTAAGTAGCATTTTTTATATAGGTACTTAATAATATTAAATTATGTTATAGAAACAAGCAGAAGAACTAGAAGAAGTAGAAGAAATAGAAGAAAGCATGGGGGCTCTAATCGTTTGATAAACCTAAAATACATACAATATAGAAATAATAAGAATTATTCATTTTAGTAACTATATCCTACATATTTATCTTATAGGTAATTAATTGAACAAAAAAAACCATTAAGTGACAATTTACCTGGTCTTGTGATATTATGCTGATTTGGTGATCACGAATCAGTTTTCTGTTGGTAATTATGATCTTAAGATCTGAAAATGTATGCAAATTACCTTTGCTTAATATCCGAGTTGAAAAAAGTCATAAATACATTGTCACAATTTGTGACTTACAAAGTATACAAATAATTAATAAAGCACTTACCAGAGGTGGAACAACCATATCATATTTATAATACCCACACAGTAGACATTGTACAGTTGCATTGAAATGTCCAGACAGTAGTTTCCAAAAATCACATGCGTTTGCATTTTCCATTCCTTGGAATACAAATTGAGTTTCATTCCAATGACACAATTTGTGGTTTCAGATAATGCTTATGATTCTCATGACTAAATGTAATTATTCTAAAATAAAAAACTATTTTAAACAATTACCTATCCAATCAAAAAAGATGTTGGTACATACCTTTAAGAAACGAGAACAAACTCGATTCATGGTGGTTTTCGGTTTCGAATACAAGAATGACATTGATAAAAAGTTAAATCATTCTCTTGGTTATCCGAGCGAACCATTTTAACAAAATGCAATAAAAACCACAATGGTCGACATATTAATTTAAACAAAAAATAACTATATAACTTGTAGGTCATAACATACCTACTATGAGTGGTAGCCGGTGTGCGGCGGGTAGACGCGAAAAAAATAATAATTATTGGTATTTGGCATTTGCCATTTGGTATTATCAATGAAAAAATTCTTCTTTGGCTTAAATTTATAGATATTAACGCGTGCTAGCCATAAATTAAAATAAACGACACCACACATCACACATTAGGTATTAACAATGTGCGAAATCTCCCACGACGTGTAATAATATTCAATGATTTAAATTTTAAACGAAGAAAGTGAAAACAAATAACGACGCATAAGCATAATAAATAGTAGGTATAGCCGGTATAGCCGTATAGGTATTCTGGTAAATGGTAATAGGCAATTACATGATAGTGGACAGTCCGACAGTCGTTGACGTTGGTGGAGGTGCCTGCCGCAGTGCCGCCGGACGCCGGGTATTAAGTCGCATTTTGGGACGTAAGTAGTAGCGAACAAAGCGCATACGAGCGTATATTCAATATCCATAGAAAAACACGATTTAAGAAATCATAGACGACGGGATGCGGGTTGGTGGTGCGGTCACGGCAAACAGTGATGTATTACCGTATTATTAAAATAAGGCAAATTGAAATCACGGATAAAAATAACTTTTTATGGTCGGTGACCCTAGCGGATAACTAGACATAACGTGGCATACGTGAAATAGGAAATGGTAAACAAGCCGACCCCGCTATAAGTAGGTACATTACTCTATGGTAGATACCTACCTATAATGAATTCCAAATTAATCATATCACAATATCCATTAGATACTTATAACGCGTTATACATCAACAAAAACCGTGATACTATCATAGATATATAATAGTACACTTTAGAAGTTTCAAGTACCCACGAATAATATTATTCAATGACAACAAAATAACTAAAATAATTATTCTAGGTTTTTTAATATGTAATTTAGTCCAAATTTGAATTTAAAATGTCTGTAAAAAATAAGTGTGTTTATATATTTTTTAGATTTTTTGGTTACAGTATGAATTATTTAAGAGAATCTTTGTTTTAAATTTTCAACTCTTAGTTATAAAAACTGAACATTTTATAATTTTTTAATTCCAACGATTGATAATTTTCGAGATTTTGATAAATTTTGTCAAAATTCCAACTTTAAATGCTTATAAAAAAAATCGTGCCTATGTATTTTTAATATTTTTCAACTGATATTGTAACAATATATCAGGAGCCTTGTATTACATTTTTACACTTTTTGGCCCAACAGATAAAACTTTATTGATATTTATAGAAAAAAAAACTAAAAAAAATTGAAAGCTGTAAATGTCCATAAACAGCTCAAAAAGAGTCAAAATATTTTCAAAATTGTATGGTGTATATGAAATGCTAATATAAACATTCAGTGAAATTTTCATGTATCTACAGTTATTCGTTTTTGAATTACAACAAAATAAGGAAATCGCTACATGAGAAATCGAGTGAAAATCCAATGTTGTAAAAATTTGAATTTCAAACGCTCATAAAAATTTAATTTGACTGTCCGGTAGAGATTTTTTTATTGATAAAGGTAGATAATCTTATAAGGAATCTTGTGTTTCATTTTCAAATCTTAGATTTAAAAAGAAAAATTTTTACGAATTCTTAACTCAAAATAATTTGCTAATTTTCGTGATTTTTCCATATTTTGTCAATTTTTGAACTTTAAATGCTTATAAAAAAAAATTGTGACTAAGGATTTTTAATATTTTTCATCTGCCTTTGAAACAACATATTAGAAGCCTTCTATTAAATTTTCAAGCTTTCGCAACCAACAAATAAAATTTTATTGATATTTCTAGAAAAAAAACTAAAATAAAATGAAAAATGAAAATGTCCCTAAACAGTTCAAAATAAATCAAAATATTTTGAAAATGTTATCGTGTATAGAAAATGCAAATATAAACAACCAGTGAAAATTTCATGTATCTACGGTCATTTGTTTTAAAGTTACACCAATAACCAAATTCGATTTTTGGAAAATCGATTTTGCGTAAAAATTCCCGTTTTTCCTTAATTTTTATGTTGTTTTTTCCCGGCGCTTGTGAAAACTACTGGAAAATGTTTACTTTTGACCCCCCAAAGTACCAACTAGATTCACTTTCCTATCAGAAAAGGTACTATTGAAGAAAATCGAAGCACTTTTACTGTCCCAAAACGTGATGACAGACACAAAAAAAAAATATAAAAATATAAAAATATAAAAACATACATCATTGTAAAACCAATACATTCATCGCTCCGCTCAGAATCTAAAATAAACAGTGTTTGTCGAGGTACCAAAAAAAAATTGGCAATATCATTATGTCTAAACAATTGAGGGCAATGTTCGACTATGGAGAAATGAAGTGAGTAAAAAATATAAACACAAAATAAAACAAAATTGTGCATTTCAATTCAATGTATTTGCAGGGATTTTAAATATCGCTTTGAAACATCCTGTGATAACTACCCCCCAATCGACATGAAAATGTCAGACCCTTGGAACTTACAACTCATTAATCATTCATCAGTATTGTATAACCTTATATTTATGGATGGGGTAAATGAGGATGAGATCCATAAGTATATCAATAGAATGGTTCAAATTCCGTTTGGTTCTGTGATTGATATTAATTTGTAAGCCTCGATGTTCTTAAGATACAGTACTTTATTTTATAATGTATACTCATATATAAAACCTCATATTTCTGTGTTATTAGGAATGCTGAAACAGGCATAAATTTAATAAAAGATATAATAAACAAGTACAATACAATTAGCAAATTAAATTTATTGAATAAATTCAACAATAGATTTAACAGAAATTTAAAAAATGCATTCACGCAGCACGGAGAATACGTTTTTGAAATAATACAATATGAATTCCAAAAAATGTTGTACAAAATTGACAAACAAATATATAGTTTTGATTACAATGAACTGCAGTGAGCGTTATTGTTATAACACGTTTGAATACAATTATATTACATTTAATAAACTGTTCTTTGTTATACAGATTTGAGACAAAAGATGTTATGATGATTGATGTTGGTGATCATCTCATTAAACTTTATATGCAACCGTTAATGCAAGAGAAATATTCGTACATGGAGACAGTAGTAATTGGTTTGCTACTTAGAGATCAATTCCAAAATGTAAAAATAAAAATATATTATTAATACATATAACAAATATTTGTACATAATATATTATTTTTTCAGACCAAACAACTGTACACCAATTTATTAAATTTCTCCAAATACTACTGCTTAAACTATGATACACAAATACATTTAAAATGTGTAAAAAATACAATAAAAACATTAAGGGAAAAAAATATAATTCATTCTTTAAAAAAACACAATAAATCTGCACTTCATCACTTAATTGACACATCAAACACAGATATAATTAAATTAAAAAAAACATCCCAAATACTAAATGATATACTATATATGAATGAAACTAAATTACGAAAAATAAAAAATAATCTTATTAATAAAAGTCCCCTTAACTTGGAAAAAATGAAAAAAAAAATTAACTACATAAATTATATTCTTCAACAATTAACTTTACAAAATTTTCACACCACTCCTTCTGATCTGCAAAACTGTTATGACAATAATATTAACTCATACAAAAACCAAATAAATACACTAAATAAATTGCTAATGAACAGCAGCTTTCCGCAGAACATAAATATGAAATCAAACAACACAATTCTAACACCCCCGGGAACACCGGTAAATCAATCAACAAACCAATTAACTGAAATAAAAGATACGCCAGAGCGTATAATACAAAACGTGAAAACCTTTTATAAAAGGTACCTATCTACTTCAGTTAATGGCAAAGATTTATTTTATTAAGACCTAATTTAATTATTTTTTTTTTCATTTCAGATCAATAAGAACCGATGTACTGAATAATTTAAAATTTTTTTCCACTTTCAATTAATTAAAAATCATCACAATCAAAATTTACAAAATTATATTCAAACATCAACTTCAAAATCTCCTTCATCAACAGTAACATTTTCTGGTTCAACATTACAATTTTATAATGAAATTTCACATATAAAAAAATACATACAGGAACATTATCCATAAAATACTACTTTTTTTTGTTTACTTATAATTCACCTGGCTAATGCAAACATTACAATAATTATTCATTATAAATTAAAATTGAATATTTAATAAGAACAATCACACTGTTATCATAAAAATATTTTAATATAGTATATACGGTATAATTGCAGTTTAGCTACCACGAGATTTTTTCAAATTTTTTTTTCGAAACCTAGGTAAATCAACCTTTTAAAAATGATGGTGCCAAAAAAAAATTGCGCAAACTCTTAGTTTTTGAGTTATAACTGTTAGAAATTCAAAAATTCCCAAATATTGCATTTTGAATTTTGAATTTTTTTTGTGGTAGACTTATGTATTTTGACTATTTAAAAATGATGGTGCAATCAGAATTTGTCGATCGAATTGAGTTTGAAAGTTATAGCGGTTTTAAGTTAAACATTTTGGATTTTTACAGAAAAATTTTTTTTGTTGAACCAAGGCGCCAAGTGAGGTAGTTGCGCCTTACCTGCTCCGGTTATATTTTTCAGATATATAATTTCTCTGAATCCAAATATCGTAAATATAAATGTTTCTGTAATTGGCAAAAAACAACTTTGTTTAATTCCGAGGTTCACCTGAGGTGGTTTTACACAACAAATCGGGGGATATTTTCGATTTGCGGAGCGGAGCGACGGCGCCGAGGAGCGTAGCGACGAGTGCCAATACACTCGTGATCACTGCAACTTTTAACTTTCATAACTTAAAACCGCTATAACTTTCAAACTAAATTCGATCGACAAATTCTGATTGCACCATCGTTTTTAAATAGTCAAAATACATAAGTCTACCACAAAAAAAAATTCAAAATTCAAAATTTGGGAGTTTTTGAATTTCTAACAGTTATAACTCAAAAACTAAGAGTTTGCGCAATTTTTTTTTGGCACCATCATTTTTAAAACGTTGATTTACCTAGGTTTCGAAAAAAAAATTTGAAAAAATCTCGTGGTAGCTAAACTGCAATTGTTCCATGATGCGAGAAGGTTTTTATAATATTAATTTTACGTTTTTTAAACACACTATTAGCAGTTAAAATATTTAAATATGTAATTATTTCTACTTTTCGCTTACAAAATGATTCCTATGTATTTTGACTTGCACATTTAATGAATTTTATAAAAAGCTTTTCCATAAGCCAACATACATTAGGCAGTTGAAATAACAGTTAGAAAAAGAGCATATATTCTTATAGGTACTCTGCTGCACATTTCAGTTTAACATAAAACTATTACATATACCATTCAAGACTGTATGGATATTTAAATTAAAATGCAGTCGGTAAACAATAAAATTAAATATATCTAATTTGTATTTAAAATAAGGAAAATATAAATGTATAGCTTATTGTGAAATAATATTTATATGCATTTAATATTATAGTAACATAAAATAAAAATAACAAACTTAAGTAATATTATGTACTTATCTGTCCTTATATTATGGGCCTTCCTCAAGAATTCGACTTAAAATACGATTCACTGGCGAAGTGGTGTGTTTTTCAGGGTAGAATAAGAACAATAGAGCCTTTCATTGATTACGAATCTTTTCTTAGAAATTACATAGCGTTACTGCATAGTATAGTTACTGAATTTTATCGTTACTTTCGTATTTCTGAACGCTTAAACCTGCAGAGTTTAAGAGTTATACCGCCTGAGCTTTTGGAATCATATGAGAAATGGAGCGAGATCCAGAAAACCGATGTTATTCAAAGCTATTATGCAAATGTCGCGCTGTTTCTTCCACATAAATTGAATAACGGATATAACCATAGAATTTTTCTAAATCCATGTCTAAGGAAATTTTGCGCTGAAACCCAACGTTTTCTATGTCAAGGCGATCCAGGGTATGATATCAGATCGTGGGTCGATAGATTTGTGCAAAAGAAACAGACTAAGCTTTTAATCGGCTTAAATCCGGTCTATGGGACGACCAGTTCTTTTTGGTTAGGTTAGGTTAGGTTAGGTCAAGTCCAAGTCTATTGCCAAGTTTCCTGTCTGCTTTATATAATTCGAACTACGTTAGTGTCATGTATGGGAGCCAGGTTTCGTATCCAGAAATGAGATTGTCTGTTGTTGATATAAGTAGCTTGTCCGCAGCTTTAAATCTAACTATGTTGTCTGATGGAATGAACACAGTTGTTAGTGCTTCTCCAAAAAGCTCGAACTTTGATGATTTTCAAAGAATAATTCTGAGTATGCTATTTCCTGTCCAAGTGCAATTGAATATTATATATAGCGTAACTGCTCCGCCTGGGGTTGACGCTTGCGCCGCCATATGTGCTAAGCTTTTGTTATCACGGAATATTACTAAAAACGCGTTGTATCAGACCGAACTTGTGCTCTCAGAATGGTTATTAAGGAACGGCTACCTACGAGAGAATAGAGAGACCCCCTTGCGATTGACGTATTCACCTCGGGGCCAGAATGCGGTTGTACGCGATAGGGTGTGGGCCGAAGTGGCTTCCATTGATAATGAAAGTACTGGATGGTTAAACATGCAATGTAACGATTTCCGCGTTATTAATGATCCCCTATACACCGGAGTTAATAGAGTACCGCAGTATGGTGATGTAACAGCGTATTTCGATAGCAGGAATTATGGAGATTCAATGACTATTCCCGTTCCACCTATGTGGCAAGCCGAAATGCGTGGACTGAATGAGATATCCTCTTTGTCAGCTGCTCAAATGACTAGCTTTATTAAACATTTAAGAATTAAGTATTTGGAATATCTGGCTAAGTTGAATAGATATATATCAATTTATGCCGAGTGTGGGTTTAGACTGACTGATGACACGTTAAATATGCTAGCTGTAAACGATCCAATTGGGCAATTAGGACCAAATGCCAATGATCCGGAACTGATTAGTGTGAGAAGTGGTTCACTTTTTAAGTTTTTCAAACAGCTTCCCAATGAATTCAACCCCCCTCAGCCTATAGTCGAAAGCGTCATATAACAAGAGATCCAGAAAGTGATGTCTATGTTCGGAACCATTAGTGAAAGAGTTGAGAATGATCAGAGAACATCAACTGTAAAACATAAGCATATACTCAAATTAATTATTGAGAACTCTAGTATACATCCTTTGGCTCGTTCGGTCTGAGAGTGCATACAGAGGATTTGATTTGTCGCGACAAGATGTTCAGTTGTTCAGAGAACTTCATGGACGGCGTGACGACTTCGTTGCAAATTTTTATCCTGAATTAAGTAGAATAGTTATTGAGTCAACTGAAGCTTTCCGTCTTGTTAGAGATGTTATTCGATCGAGGCGCCCTAGCACTAGCGCCACGAGCGGTTAAAAACTCACACAACAAGTTGCATGCATTTTTTGCATTACAAACCGTAATTAAACAACATTTCTTGTAACTTATTTTATTTACAAAGAAACATTAATTAAATGCATAATAATTTATGTATATTTTCAATTCATTTTTACGTTCAAGTACAAGCCTCGTGGTCTCGTCAAATGCGCGCAAACACCACTTTATTAATTAATTATTTTTTTTTTTTTTTAATAGGTACATCAAATCATGGATAAATCCATTGTCCTAGCTCGAATAGATGATGTATGCACCGAAGTTTATCTAGACATAGCATTACGGGTTCAGACACACAAGATGGCACTGAATGTAGACCAGAAGGTGACGCCACGACCCATCCACCAAAAAATAATGAAAGTTCACCGAGTGATGTATGAGGAAGCTGTGTCCGAACACTCCAGAGTTAAATTTGTATTGTGCGACTACATACCAGATCACAACCTATACCTATCACTAATGGTTGTAAGCAAGTGCTTCATAGAAATGGAGACTCCTCTGTTTGAAGTTGGTGGACACCATTTCCCTTTTGGAAAAGAACTCATCACAGCTGGTACGTTACATTGTTTATTATATGTTAACATTTTCAATGTACTTAATTATTTTTACCTTTCATTATTAGGTGTTAATGATTTTTCCAATATTTACTCGGGGAAGTCTAGACAAAAAATACCACACTTGCTACTGGGGCCAATTGCGTTCGTGAACCACTCCTGCGTACCAAACTGCATTTTTCTACCACACGGAGATGGGAAAACGTATCTGAAGGCTGTCAAGAACATTGAAAGTGGTGAAGAAATAACCGTGCAGTACAGCACTGAATATTTTGGAGATACATGCTCAAAATGTTTGTGCGAAGTGGAACTCATCACAGCTGGTACGTTACATTGTTTATTATATGTTAACATTTTCAATGTACTTAATTATTTTTAAATTTCATTATTAGGTGTTAATGATTTTTCCATCATTTACTCGGGAAAGTCTAGACAAAAAATACCACACTTGCTACTGGGGCCAACTGCGTTCGTGAACCACTCCTGCGTACCAAACTGCATTTTTCTAAATGGATGCCAAGTTCAATGGTCAGTCCTGAAATTTATTTATAACAACATGAAATATAATTTCTTCTTATCACTTAGGATAATGTTTTGAAGCCTAAGGTCTGACTTGGCTAGTTTCCATATTTTACGAATTATCATCAAGTACCTACTAAAACAGTCATGGAAGAGCACTATGTTCGATAGCTAGTTTCTAATAGCAAAAATAATAAAGACAAAAGTCGACGACCAGTAAGCCCGCAACCAACTGCGGAAGTGCCGACAAACAAGTTTCATAGAAAACGGTCGACCACACTAGCGCCACGAGCGGTTTAAAACTCACACAACAAGTTGCATGCATTTTTTGCATTACAAACCGTAATTAAACAACATTTCTTGTAACTTATTTTATTTACAAAGAAACATTAATTAAATGCATAATAATTTATGTATATTTTCAATTAATTTTTACGTTCAAGTACAAGCCTCGTGGTCTCGTCAAATGCGCGCAAACACCACTTTATTAATTAATTATTTTTTTTTTTTTTTTAATAGGTACACCAAATCATGGATAAATCCATTGTCCTAGCTCGAATAGATGATGTATGCACCGAAGTTTATCTAGACATAGCATTACGGGTTCAGACACACAAGATGGCACTGAATGTAGACCAGAAGGTGACGCCACGACCCATCCACGAAAAAATAATGAAAGTTCACCGAGTGATGTATGAGGAAGCTGTGTCCGAACACTCCAGAGTTAAATTTGTATTGTGCGACTACATACCAGAGCACAACCTATACCAATCACTTATGGTTGTGAGCAAGTGCTTCATAGAAAAGAAGACTACTCTGTTGGAAGTTGGTGGACACCATTTTAAATTTGGAAAAGAACTCATCACAGCTGGTACGTTACATTGTTTATTATATGTTAACATTTTCAATTTACTTAAGTATTTTTACGTTTAATTATTAGGTGTTAATGATTTTTCCAATATTTACTCGGGGAAGTCTAGACAAAAAATACCACACTTGCTACTGGGGCCAATTGCGTTCGTGAACCACTCCTGCGTACCAAACTGCATTTTTCTACCACACGGAGATGGGAAAACGTATCTGAAGGCTGTCAAGAACATTGAAAGTGGTGAAGAAATAACCGTGCAGTACAGCACTGAATATTTTGGAGATACATGCTCAAAATGTTTGTGCGAAGTGGAACTCATCACAGCTGGTACGTTACATTGTTTATTATATGTTAACATTTTCAATGTACTTAATTATTTTTAAATTTCATTATTAGGTGTTAATGATTTTTCCATCATTTACTCGGGAAAGTCTAGACAAAAAATACCACACTTGCTACTGGGGCCAACTGCGTTCGTGAACCACTCCTGCGTACCAAACTGCATTTTTCTAAATGGATGCCAAGTTCAATGGTCAGTCCTGAAATTTATTTATAACAACATGAAATATAATTTCTTCTTATCACTTAGGATAATGTTTTGAAGCCTAAGGTCTGACTTGGCTAGTTTCCATATTTTACGAATTATCATCAAGTACCTACTAAAACAGTCATGGAAGAGCACTATGTTCGATAGCTAGTTTCTAATAGCAAAAATAATAAAGACAAAAGTCGACGACCAGTAAGCCCGCAACCAACTGCGGAAGTGCCGACAAACAAGTTTCATAGAAAACGGTCGACCACACTAGCGCCACGAGCGGTTTAAAACTCACACAACAAGTTGCATGCATTTTTTGCATTACAAACCGTAATTAAACAACATTTCTTGTAACTTATTTTATTTACAAAGAAACATTAATTAAATGCATAATAATTTATGTATATTTTCAATTAATTTTTACGTTCAAGTACAAGCCTCGTGGTCTCGTCAAATGCGCGCAAACACCACTTTATTAATTAATTATTTTTTTTTTTTTTTTTAATAGGTACACCAAATCATGGATAAATCCATTGTCCTAGCTCGAATAGATGATGTATGCACCGAAGTTTATCTAGACATAGCATTACGGGTTCAGACACACAAGATGGCACTGAATGTAGACCAGAAGGTGACGCCACGACCCATCCACGAAAAAATAATGAAAGTTCACCGAGTGATGTATGAGGAAGCTGTGTCCGAACACTCCAGAGTTAAATTTGTATTGTGCGACTACATACCAGAGCACAACCTATACCAATCACTTATGGTTGTGAGCAAGTGCTTCATAGAAAAGAAGACTACTCTGTTGGAAGTTGGTGGACACCATTTTAAATTTGGAAAAGAACTCATCACAGCTGGTACGTTACATTGTTTATTATATGTTAACATTTTCAATTTACTTAAGTATTTTTACGTTTAATTATTAGGTGTTAATGATTTTTCCAATATTTACTCGGGGAAGTCTAGACAAAAAATACCACACTTGCTACTGGGGCCAATTGCGTTCGTGAACCACTCCTGCGTACCAAACTGCATTTTTCTACCACACGGAGATGGGAAAACGTATCTGAAGGCTGTCAAGAACATTGAAAGTGGTGAAGAAATAACCGTGCAGTACAGCACTGAATATTTTGGAGATACATGCTCAAAATGTTTGTGCGAAGTGGAACTCATCACAGCTGGTACGTTACATTGTTTATTATATGTTAACATTTTCAATGTACTTAATTATTTTTAAATTTCATTATTAGGTGTTAATGATTTTTCCATCAAATACTCGGGAAAGTCTAGACAAAAAATACCACACTTGCTACTGGGGCCAACTGCGTTCGTGAACCACTCCTGCGTACCAAACTGCATTTTTCTAAATGGATGCCAAGTTCAATGGTCAGTCCTGAAATTTATTTATAACAACGTGAAATATAATTTCTTCTTATCACTTAGGATAATGTTTTGAAGCCTAAGGTCTGACTTGGCTAGTTTCCATATTTTACGAATTATCATCAAGTACCTACTAAAACAGTCATGGAAGAGCACTATGTTCGATAGCTAGTTTCTAATAGCAAAAATAATAAAGACAAAAGTCGACGACCAGTCAGCCCGCAACCAACTGCGGAAGTGCCGACAAAGAAAAGTTTCATAGAAAACGGTCGACCACACTAGCGCCACGAGCGGTTTAAAATTCACACAACAAGTTGCATGCATTTTTTGCATTACAAACCGTAATTAAACAACATTTCTTGTAACTTATTTTATTTACAAAGAAACATTAATTAAATGCATAATAATTTATGTATATTTTCAATTAATTTTTACGTTCAAGTACAAGCCTCGTGGTCTCGTCAAATGCGCGCAAACACCACTTTATTAATTAATTTTTTTTTTTTTTAATAGGTACACCAAATCATGGATAAATCCATTGTCCTAGCTCGAATAGATGATGTATGCACCGAAGTTTATCTAGACATAGCATTACGGGTTCAGACACACAAGATGGCACTGAATGTAGACCAGAAGGTGACGCCACGACCCATCCACCAAAAAATAATGAAAGTTCACCGAGTGATGTATGAGGAAGCTGTGTCCGAACACTCCAGAGTTAAATTTGTATTGTGCGACTACATACCAGATCACAACCTATACCTATCACTAATGGTTGTA